TTCCCGTGGGGAGGGGTCTCAGCATGTCCTCGCCCCCGTCTCCGTCTGCTCTCTGCGTGTGTGGGCAGAGTTCTAGGTCCTGACGCAGACTGGGCGTTTCTTTAGTCTTCTTCTTTCTCTGTGACTGTCTGCTTGGTGCTCGGGCCTCTTCTTCCTTGACCATGGCCTCCGACGGTGACCTTGGCTGACAGTGACCTTGGCTGATGGTGTGTGTTCCACCTTAGAGGCCTGAGGTGAGGACTGTCACCTGCGTGGTCTGTGGCTCGGGTATTGCCATGGCATTTAGGTCAAGTAATTCAAGGGTTAAAAGCACTGCTGGCCGCAGGGGCTAGGACCCCATAGCGAGCAGCAAGCCACAGCTGCTAAAGTCTCTTGTCCCCAGCGGCTGAGTTACAGCCATTCTGATTCACAGGACAACCATGTAGTATTGACAAAAACCATAGAAAATTGAAACTTATTTCTCTCCAGGTAAACATCACATTTTCTCTCCCTTTTTCTCACTCTCCTAGCACAAACTTCTAGAACATAAAGGCCAAAAAATCTTTTTTTAAAAAAGCTTTTTTTTTTTTTAATGTGATGCTGAGGATCGAACTCAGGTTCCACCCACGCTAGGCAAGCACTCTACCGCTGAGCAACAATCCTAGCCCCCCAAAAATCTTTTATAAAGATTTATAAAAACAATTTTTTAAAATCCACAAAAACGTGCTTTCCATGGAGAGGACTCAACAACATAGCCCATCAATCATCTTAATAACTATATTTATTTAGAGTCTGTACAATTATACCCCAGTATTAAAAAGTTTAACGTCACAGATTTTCCTTTTGTCTAATTCACTTACTTTCTACAATTCTGCCCACAACACTCTGCAGTCCTAAGCATGCTTAACTTCTGGAGAGAACTTTCCACGTCACTAACTTTCTTTAATATTTAAATTGGAGTCCCCTTAGGAGCCAGCATTTGTTGCTTTTGTCCCAGCGGTAGACGCAGACCTTCCGCCCCACGTTGGGCGCCAATGGCCGGGTTTCTGTTCTCGCGACTAAAAGGCTCAGGGTCACTCTAGTTAAACTGGGCTAACTGGGCTGCACAAAATAACCACACAAGAGACACAAATACCTTTTTCTTTGGGGTCACTGTGATGGCTCCTCTGACCTTAAGGGTCTGCAGAAAGAGAGAGAGAGCACATGCTGACCCCTTTTATTGAGGAGAAGCTATTCAAATGAGGCAAGGGGTCAGGTTTCAGGGGGCTGAGTCTATCTCCATGGTGTCCACTGTCAGCAGGTTGACTGACACCTGGGTAGGCCACACCCCAGGGCACAGTAAGAGGAGGGGACACACACAAGGCACTTCCATGGAAGATTCTCCCCTAAACAGGGCAAGGGGTTAGATTACAAAGGAACAGGTGAGCATAGCTCCACCCATGGGGCTGTAGCAAGACACACCCATTTCTGTGACTGAGCGCCTCAGCACCCAGCTGGGGAGTGTAACTCAGTCACCCATAAGGTTGGCCTCCCACAGTCTGTGGCTCGGGTATGGCAGGCTGGGAACACGGTTCTTCACCTTCCATGCTTGAGTGCTACCCCGTGTCTCCTGAGTTCTGGGAGGTGCCCTCTGAGTTTACTTGCCCTCCCTGCCTGAGTGGCCACCTGTGGGCGCATCCTTGCGCCCTGTTCTGGGGGCCATGCCCTGCCTCCTCTCGCTCACCCTCATGTTGGACACGTGCTCCCGTGTCCTCAGCTTCCCTTCTCTGTCTCCTCCTCTGGGAGGAGTGCCCCTGGGACTGTCCCTCCCTAGCGGTGGCCTTCCTATCATTCCGTGTCAGTGATGGAGGGTCCACGTGGTTCCCTGGCAATTGTCTGCCAGCCCCCGTCCTTGGCATGTCCACGGCGCTGCTGGGCTCTGCCCTTCTCCTGGAGTAGAAACCCCTCAGGACGCTAGCTGTTGGGCCACGAGCCTGGCGTCTGGTCCAGGGATGGGTAGGTGCCCCTGGAGCAGGACAGGGGTGAGGCCCTGGGCAGCAAAGGCCTGGCCCGCAAGACTCTGCCCATCTTGTTGGCTGCTCTTCAGAGCCAGCTGACGGTGTTGGGCCCAGTGCCATGGGGACCAAAAGTAGGTACTAGAGTGACATGCCCAGATCTGCAGCTGGGTTGGTGGCCTCCAGATGCCAGGTCCAGTGAGCACCAGCTGCTGGTGGACAGTGCAGGAGCCACAGGACTCTCTGTGAGGGTGCTGCTGGCCAGGTGGGCAGCCCATGGCCTCATGTACCTCCCCAAGAACTGGGGGGCCTCAGCAGCCTCTCCACAGGAACGAGGGTCACTGGGGTGCAGCTCAGTGGAAGAGCGCTTGCCTAGCACGCCTAAGGCCCTGGGTTCCATTCCAGAGACTGGGAGACTGGAGAGCACCCCTGGGAGAGACCAGGCCCTCCACGGCCACCCAAGTCCTAACCCTGACCCTAACCCTAACCCCTGGGAGAGACCAGGCCCTCCACCCCCAAGCCCTGACCCTAATCCTAACCCTAACCCTAAACCTAACCCCTGGGAGAGACCAGGCCCTCCACCCCCAAGCCCTGACCCTAATCCTAACCCTAACCCTAAACCTAACCCCTGGGAGAGACCAGGCCCTCCACCCAAGCCCTGACCCTAATCCTAACCCTAACCCTAACCCTAACCCCTGGGAGAGACCAGGCCCTCCACCCCCAAGCCCTGACCCTAATCCTAAACCTAACCCTAAACCTAACCCCTGGGAGAGACCAGGGCCTCCACCGCCACCCCAGCCCTAACCCTAATCCTAACCCTAACCCTAACCCCTGGGAGAGACCAGGCCCTCCACGGCCACCCCAGCCCTAACCCTAATCCTAACCCTAACCCTAACCCCTGGGAGAGACCAGGCCCTCCACGGCCACCCAAGCCCTAACCCTAACCCTAACCCCTGGGAGAGACCAGGCCCTCCACGGCCACCCAAGCCCTAACCCTAACCCTAACCCTAACCCTAACCCCTGGGAGAGACCAGGCCCTCCACGGCCACCCCAGCCCTGACCCTAATCGTGGTCGATTCCCATGCTTATCATTCCGTATTTCTTTGTATAGATGTGAAAATCTGTAAGCGGTAGATAAAAACTCAATACACCCGTGTGCATTTTGTTCTCCTAAACATGGGGCCACTGTGTCCTGCGACCAACCTTCATGGCAGAGAGGTGTCTTGGGAAGGTCTGAAGGTGAAGCTGCGGTGGTTTCTCCCATGGAGCCCTCCCGCTGCCCGCTGTGGGCCGTGACCTGGTCCTGAGTGGACAGTAGGTCCTTTCTCAGTTGTTAGTCTTTTAAAATTTTTGTGGTGCTAGGGATTGAGCCCAGGGGTGCTCCACCACTGAGCTACGCCCAGCCCTTTCCAGGGGTCTCGCTGGGTTGCCCAGGCTGGCCTTGGACTCGTCGTGGTGCGCCTGCCTCGGCCTCCTGAGTGGTCAGTTTTTGTGGTGGAAGCCACGAGGCAATGCAGGACGCTACAGCTTGGTCTCTGTGGCCAAGGACGATTTCCCTGGTGATACTTTGTGGAAGCGAGATTTTTAGGTAAAGTGCACATCACACCACAGTATCGTTTAAATCTGCAAACCCTGTGGGTAAGGTCATCTCGCGTCCTTGGCGCTTCGAGGCTAACTGCAGTGTGGGTGGTGGCCGTTCAGGTGCTGGGGTGCTGTGTGTCTTGGGTGCCTGTTGATGGATGGGCCTCCTGAGCCCCTGGCGTTTGAGGTGCCCGCCGTCCATGCTTGGTGGGCCTTATAGAGGGGTTTTAAGTTACCAGCACACACAGCACCCCCTGTCCTCGGGTCACAGACGGGCTGTAGACGGGCAAGGCCACTGTGGGTCAGCCGCCGTTTCCCATGGTGCCCACCCCTGAGGGGGGCCAGGCGGGCTACTGACCCCCCCAGAGGCCTGCAGTGGGGCTGTCGGGTCGGGGAGGGGAGTGGGGCTCTCCGTGGGTGTGGCAGAGGCAGCTTCGGGAGCCAGCCAGCCCCCAGGCCAGGGTGAGAGGGAGCGGAGCCTCGGCTCAGGAGAAGGTCTTGGGGACAGAGGTCTGTTCCAGGTCAGAAGCTGGGCCTGGCTTCAGAGGTGAGGTGGGTGATGCTGACCTGGGCCTTAGTCCTGGGCCGCAGCTGGACAGAGCCAGAGAGACGCAACTCTGGGGCAGCCATCCACGCAGAGGGGGTCCAGAGCTCACGTGTCAACAGTGAGAGAGGGTGGACCGGCTGGTGTCCACAGTCCTCGGCAGCCCTGTCATCCAACCACATCACATCCGGGGCCCCTGCCTGTGTCCAGGGGCTCTGTGTGGCAGATGGGATGCTGAGAGGCCTGGTGACTTGTGCTCCCGAGACCCTGCTGGGTGTCTCCACGCTCAGCCCCTGGCGGGCTGTCCCCTGGCGGGCTGTCCCCTGGAGGGCCTCGGGCTGGCTCAGGGAGCAGGGCCAGCCATGGGCGGGGCGGGGGTGAGGGAGGTGGATCCTTGGGTCGGGCCCCTGTGGTTGCCCTGTTTGACGGGTGCACAGAACAGGGCCAGCCGGGGCCAGCTGCCTTCCTCTGTGCCCCTCTTACTCTGTGGTGGGCAAGGGAAAGCCTGTGAGGTGTGGTTGGGGCAGGTGGGCCAGTGGGCAAGGGTGGAGGCACGTGCGGGCAGGCTTTGCCCCTGTCCCAGAGGCAGTGACGGGGGCCGGCTGGGGACCTGGCGCTCCCACGTGCGTTTCCCTACCCACCAATGGGAAAAGAGGGCTCCTGTGTGCGAGTGCCCTGGGAGCCGCTGGCGGGGGGCCAGGAATGCTGACCCCCTGAGCAGGGAGGCTGCATGCGGCTGAGGCCCTGCCCACTGAGCCACGGCTCCTCGGGCGTCTGGGCAGCGGGCTCCATCCCTTCTCTCACGGAGGACTCACACACAGACACTCTCCCTGAGGCCCGGGGTTCGCGGCAGCCAGCCCCTGCCCTTCCTCGGCTCTGAGCAAATGAACAGCAGTCGGGAAGGGAGAAAACCGACACTTTATTCCTGCAGGCTGGCTGGGTGGACCTCCCCTGCCCCCTTCGCCAGGCTGCAGGAGCTCTGGACCTGCCACACGCCTGAGTCCATCCGACCGAGCAAGCCCTCCTAGGCTGCGGCAGGGAAAGGTAGTGGGGGGAGGACAGCCTCCGTGTGTCCCTGGTGGCAGCACCATCAGAGCCCCCTGAGGGCCTGGGAGGTGGGCAGGGAGGCTTCCTGGACCAGGTGCCCCATCCGCTGGGAAGGGCCCAGGAACCTGGTCCCTGTGTGTGGACCTGGGCCAGCAGGTCAGCAGGGCCTCTGCAAGCTCTGCTGAGGCAGGGCCGGAAGGACAGTGGGCAGAGGGGCACCGAGGGCCTGGTGGGCTCAGTGGCACTGGTTGGGGGTGGACAGGGTATTGCGGCGGCTGTAGCACATGTCCTCATAGACCACGCTGGACGAGCTCTTCTTCCTCGAGGTGCACATTCCCTTAATCTAAAAGGTGGCCCACTGTTACCCAGGTGGGGGCCGGCCTGCTGTCAGCCCCAGGGAGTCCCCTCCAAGGCCCCCTCCCACGCTCACACCCAGGGGCAGCTTTCTCACAGCCCGGGCTCAGTCACCCAGGTGCGGTGGAGTCTGCCTGGGGAGGCCCCACACTGCAGACAAGGCCAGGGGATCCTGCCCACATGGGAGGGGCCAGCTCACAGGCCAGACCCGGAGCTCACACTGACCTGCGTCCTTCTCAGCGTGCACAGCACCCCCAGGCCCAGCCCCATGAGGAAGAAGCCCACCGCCAGGGCAGTGGGGAGGACGCGGGACGTCAGTGGAGGCTCCTGGCATCTGTGCAGGGACAGTGTGTCTGGGAAGAACAAAGAGGCCCTTGGCTTCAGGGGAGGAGGGGCTGTGGAGCTGCAGAGGGAGGCGATCCCCAGGCTGCCTGGGGAGCCAGGCTCCAGAGAGCGTGGAGGGCAGGAGCCGGCACGTTCCCCACCTGTCACGGCGACCATGGTGCCGGGGCCTGGGACGTTGCTGTCCAGGAAGTCCTGGACGGCCTCGCAGGTGTAGGTGCCCGAGTCGGCCTTCCGCAGGTGGTGCATGCTGATGGTCAGGTTGTTCTGAGGCCCCGAGAAGCTGACGCGGCCCTGGAACTGCGGGTCCACAGTGGAGGTCCTGCTCTCCTCGTCCTCATAGTAGACCACGTATGCGGCCTGGGGCCAGCTTTGCTTCAGGTAGAGCCCTTTCAGGGTCCCGTTGGTGGAGCAGGTGATGCTGACCGAGCCCCCCTCTGGGATGGTCGCGTAGCGGGGAGACTGCTGCACCTCCACCAAGAGCCTGCTGTCACCACGGGCTGGGCAGAGGGGCAGAGGACAGCCTCTTTGCAGGGACAATGGCAGGGAGGCCTGGAGGCCCTCAGCACCACAGCGCCATGGGGTCTGGGGCAGCTCTGGGGGCCAGCACCAGGGGCTTGGGGCCCCTGGGGCCAGGCTGCCCGCAGCCTCTCCACACCCAGCACTGGGGGAGGCTGTCGCGGGGCTTCCTTCCTGCAGCTACGCCGCCCCGCCGCCCGCCCTGGCTCTACGTTTCTCCTGAGTCCCACCGACACAGCTGGAGGCCACTGTCCCCTCTCCCCTGAACCTTCTCTTCAACGCTGGCTGCCTCGGTTTCCCCCACCACTCGCAGCACCAGAGCCCGTGGCTCTGTGAAGGGGGCACATTCCGGTGGTCCATGGGACCTTCAGAGACCAGGCTGTCTGACCGGCCCAGGTCCAGTGGCGCCCAGCTTCCCGGTGGAGACACAAACCATTCACTGTACCCTAGACCTGGCCGCCCAGAGAACCCGGAGCCGTGCTGCGTGTTTGCACGAGGTGGTGCCCGCCAACCTGGCTCCCACACCCACACGTGTGCACGACTGCAAGGCTCCCCCACGGTCTTCTTTAGAGGGACACCAGGGACAAAGTCCTCCTGGTGACAAAGGCTGCACTGCTGATTGCAGAGAAGCAAGTCCCTGGCATGACCTCAGGGAAAACAGAAAATCCTACCATCCTGCTGCCCAGACCTCAGCCCTGCCTACGACCCTGTTCCCGACATGGGCCCTCAGTGGTCCTGGAGGGGCCAGGGAGGGGCGGGAAGGCACTCACCTCGGGCAGCCAGGGTCCCAGACAGGGCGCTAGCCAGCAGGAGCAGCAGAGCCATGCTGCCTCAGACCCCTGGCCAATCAGCACTGCGCCTTGCCCAGGCCTCTCGCTGCTGGGGAGGCCCCGCCGAGGCGTCTCAAGCACAGCTCTGGGGAACCGGGCGCAGGAGGCACCTCGGCTCAGCAGTGGTGACTGTCTGGGGCGCTCAGGGGTGGTTCCTGGGAGGAGGCAGGAGCTGCCACAGAAGGGCGGAGCCTCCCCTCACTCCTCCCACAGCTCCTGGCCAGCCTCGTGGCCACCTCCCAGAACTTCTGCCCCCGGGACACCTGGCCGGGAAAGAGAAGGGCCAGGCTCTGGGGCTGGAAAGATAGGGGCCCCCAGGAGGGGCTGGGAGTTGGGAGCTGCATGCATGAGGCACTGGGATCGATCCTCAGCACTACATAGAAATAAATAAAGATATTGTGTCCATCTACAAATATATATATATATATATATAAGAAATTCTGGTTTCTGTCCATATGTTGGAGGAAAACACCCAAACTACTGCTGTGGTTTGGATGGCAGATGCTCCCTGAAGGCACCTGTGCTCACCGCTGTGCGGATCTTCAGAGGTGAGGTGGCTTCCTCAGTCCACCCAGCTGGAACGGGCTGGCTGGTGGTAACTGTGCAGGTGGGCGTGGAGGCCAGGCCTGGGGGAGTGGGGCTGGAAGGGTGCGTCTTCCTGCAGTACCTTCTCGCCCCTTCCCCTCTCTGCTTCATGAGCTGAGCAGATTCCCTCTGTCACACCTTTCTGCCATGATGTTCTGCCTCACCTGGGCCCAGAGCCACACTTGGCCAGTCAAGGACTAACCCTCTGAAACCGTGGGCCCCAAGTGGTTCTCTGTGGGTACTTTGGTCACAGCCAGGAAGAACTGACAAACACAGAAACTAGTACTGAGAGGTGGGCCGTTGGTGGGACCAACCGGCACGCGTGGTTCAGAAAGCCTCTGGAGCTGTGCGGCAGGAGGAGCTTGGGAAAGGCTGGAGATGCAGGCTGGAGAACCTTAGAAAGTCCTAGGTGGAGCTTAATGGGGGACCCCGTGGGAGCTCAGAAGACCGCATTTTAAAATGACGTGCTGATGGACCTGGTGGAGGAGATGTCAGGGCAGCACAGTATTCACTCAGTGGCATGGATTTTGCTGTCGGCTTTTAGTCATATTTACTGTGAGAAATCAGGATCAAAAAGCAGAGAAGGAAGATTTTATTCATTTTTATTTTCTTCAGGTGCTGGAAGGAGGATTTCAAAAACTGGCTGTTGGGCCAAAAAAGGGTGTGTAAAACTGGGGCCAAAGAAGGTGCGATTGTTCCGTCACAGCCGCTGAAGAGGGGCTGAGTACTTTGTACACAGACACTGGGAAGGATGGCTTGGGGCACCTGAGGAATCTGCAGGGTCAGGGGTGTGAGAGTGAAAGCTACTTCAAGAGCACAGGGGTGCCCAGAGAATCGTTTCCCCAGGATTCGTTTCACTATGCTCACTACCCAAGCACTGATAGACCCTGGCATCTCCCACATGGTGCTGGTTCTGCAGGAACGCAGGATGCTGGAGTTCAGGGGTCGTCGAGCACTCAAAGGAAGACCTGGGAGGCCAGGCAAAGTGTAGCAGGGTCAGAATCTCCGCGGGCTGCCCAAGTGGGCGATGCATGAAACTGTGAAGGTGGAGCCGAAGCTGGAATGGAAACTCTAGGAATTAAGCGATGCTAGTGATGTGGACTGTCTGCCACAGAACCTGCTGGCTGCGGAGAGAGCCAGGCTAAGAGGGGCCATGAGGACCACAACCGCTAAGGCCAAAGAGGTGGGGCAGCCCCACTCCTGCAGAGCACGTCCTGCAGCCACGTGTCCTAGATGCTGTACAAGGAGTCTGCCCAGATGGGTTCAGTCTTGTTTTGGTCTCATCTCTTCTTTCTGCACCCTTATAACTGTGATTTGGAATGGGAATGTGTACTCTGTGCCCCTCCATATTGCATATACTTAACTTGCTTTTGATAAGTGCTCAAAGCCAAAAATTTATCTTGAGTCTCCGATGAGGTTTTGGACTTGGACTTTTGGGCAAAGCTGGGACTATGGGACTCCTGAAGAAGGACTAAATGCATCTTGCACTGTGAGATGGACATGAGCTTTTGAGGCCAAAGATGGAATGTTGTGGTTTGGATGTAAGGTGTCTCCTCAAACCTCCTACATAAACACAGAAATATTCAGAGGAGAAATGATGAGATCGTGAGAGCTGTGACCTGATCAGTCCATCCTAGTTTGAATGGACCAGGTGGGAGGTAGCCTGGGCAGGTGGGATGTGGCTGGAGGACGTGGGTCCCTGGTGTGCCTGAGGGGTGCATCTTTTCTGCAGTACCTTCTCGCCCCCCTCCTTTCTCCGCCTCCTGGCTGCCAGGAGCTGAGCAGCTTCCCTGGTCACATCCTTCCACCACGGTGTTCTGCCGGGGTCCTGAAGGATGAGTGGCGTCGGCGAAAAGATGAGACAGGAGTCGTCCCGTTGGAGCGATCTCCAGAGAGAGCGCTAATGCAGCTTTCTCCGGGTCATCTTTTATTACAATTTTTCTCACCATTATGGATTCAGAATACGTCATTGATTCTATAATTTAAAACTTTGCTAAGACATGACATTTCCTTAACCATGATTGGGAGTACAAAAAATGTGACATTAATTTACATTTTTCCAGGATCTGACCTTCAGTTATGTAATTATTAAAAGTACAGAATCATTAATAAAATACGTCACTAATTTACATTTTTCAGATTTTCCCAAGATTTACTATTTTTCCCAAGATTTACTATTTTTCCCAAGATATGTTATTTTCCTATTAACTAATGCCAAACTACGTAACCAGATTCTAAGTCTCCTAGCCAATCATTAACCTAAAGTACACTTGTACTTTATTTCTAATCTAAAATTCCCATCTAAAAAAGTCCCCTTAAATCTTATATTTAAAATATCCTAAAGTTTATGAATCATTCTTAAAACATATCAGAAACCTATACAACTAAAAAGTTAAGAATTTCTAAACTTAAGAATCTAAATAAAATGATATTTCTAACATTATTCTAAAACGGTGTCTTATAAAGCTGTTTTAATTAATTCCTAAATTTATTCTCATAAAACTGTTTGAGCTGCTTTCTCAAAGAGTTTCTTTGTTTCTCAGTCAAGGTGCACTAGTTCTCATATCTTTATAATCATCTCAATAAAAAGTAAGTTCTAAACATCAATCCACTTTCCACCAATATCAACTATGCTCATCATATATGCCTATGTAAAGTAAGAAAGAGTTTATAAAAAGAGAAGAATGTATCTTTATATGTTTTAACTTTCCTAAGTGTATAATATAACTTTCCTTAATCAAAAATGAAACTGCATGTGGTGAACTTTGTGAAATAAGCATACTGATTAGGTTTTCTAAGAGGCCGGAAATATGGGCTTGGGTTCTAGTTGATATGATCAATGTGGCGCCTAAGATTCTCATGACCTTTCAGAGGATGACTGTTGTCCGTGATCAGGTTTGTCCACAATGTGCTGAGATAGAAGCACAGCCTTCTGCTTTGTCCTTGATGTGCTGAGGGGTAGTAGAACAGCCTCCAAGGCGTGAACTGCCTGTTCTGTTCTAGCCACCTGAAATTTAACTTGTTTGGCATTTAACATGCTCATGCCTCCTGTCAGGAACATCAGCATGAAAATGCAAAGTCCCAATGACATAAAAAAGGGTCTCCTGGTTTCGGTTTCCCACCGACCAGCGTGGCTTGGCCAGCGTTCATCCTCACTGAGACCCTGTCAAGACGACAGTGGGTGGGGGGTCGCCTTCGCCAGTGTTCTGTCTCGCCTGGGTCTAGAGCCATGGACTTGGCTGACCGCAGACTAAACCCCTGAAACTGTGAGCCAGAATGAACCCGTCCTCCTCCAGGTGGCTCTTGTCCGGTACCTGGGTGACAGCAAGGAAACCTGACTAACCCAGTTGCAATTGCAATCAAGAAAACGCGTGCACATGTGAGCCCAGGAAGAAAAGTGGGGTGCGGTGGTGGGGATGGGCCTGAGTGGGGAGCCAGGGGGTCCCCCAGGAGAGGTCTGGGGTGTGAGGGGCCTGTCTGTCCTGCCCGGGGAAGCAGCTCCCTCCAGCCAGCACCTGTTGTGCTCCCACTTTTTTTCCCTGAGGGCCTCTGCGGCTGGGTTGCGTCGCCCCCTGCTGGTGGGCATGGGGTGATGCGTCATTTCAGACCCGGAGCCCCCCATTTTGGTCCTGGAGCCCTGGCAGCAGGGTCCACAAAACTTGTTTCTGTTCTTGGTCAAGACAGGCGTGTGCCCACGGTCCACTTAAACTGAAACTGGAGGTCCCCTGGCTTGCTCTGGGGTCTGTCAGGGAGTGGGGAGCCCCTGGAGCACAGGGGCTCAGCAGCAGGAGAGGAGCCAGGGCCCCCCTTGATAAGCAGCAGAGGCAGGGCAGATCCTGTCAATCAAAGGCTGTGAAGTTTGAGATTTTCCATGTTTGGACAGAGGTGAGGCAGCAGAGAGGGGC